AATGTTTGCCATACTGTAAAAACTTTAAAAAAGTGTTGTATCTAGTGTACAACTTTGCACACTTTAAAAATGCATGTTGCGTCACACTGTACAACTTTGCACACATTAAAAATGCATGTTGCGTCACAGTGTACAACTTTGCACACTTTACAAATGCATGTTGCGTCACACTGTACAACTTTGCACACATTAAAAATTAATTTTACATCACACTGTAAAAACTTTGCAAACATTTGACGCAACATGCATTTTTAAAGTGTGCAAAGTTTTACAGAGTGACACCTATGAAATGAGTTTCAAAACTATTTTTTAAAAGTTCCTATTGTTAAAAACATTCTGTGATATATGATATTAATTACCTAGATTGATATTAAATTACATGTTACAATTTTTTAATGATTTTGTGTATTTTACATCAACAGTGTTTTACTAGTTATCTCTTTAAATATGATCATAGCACAAAAAGAAAGCTTAAACAAAGAGAAGGAGAAGCTGACTCAAGATGTAGAGGAGTCTAAAAAACAGATCATATCTCTAGAACAGCTAAAAGGTAAGTCTGTCTTGTAGTCACAGGATATTGCTAGGGACATAAAGGTAACAATTTATTGTTCTAAGCTTTGTTACCAATGCTTCAATTTAGATGTTAACTAGAGGGTGCATGAGGCTAAGATCTAGTAAATTCAACTAAGATCTAGATGGGTAATTTAGTTATAAATGACTTAGCAGTTAGGTAATGTCAAAGAGTGCCAATCAAAGGAAAATATTTAATGAGAAGTTATTTAGCTCACTGTTAGTAGCAAGATTTGTCATGTCTATTCAGCTGTTCTTTACTTGGTGAGTTACATATTCGTTTATCGATAAAACCTAAGTACTTAAAAGTAGCTAAGTTAAGCCTACATCTCTGAGTTGGTATTGAAACTTTGTATTTGAAGTTAGCCCTACATTTGGTTGTGGAGTTTATCTTAAAAAGTTTATTTATGAAATTAATCCTACAACTTAGAAGTGAATGTAGCTATAACAAAGGTTATTGAAGAAATAATTTAGATGTTTTATTATAGAAATATATCACTCTTTTAAGTAAATATTTTCAGCAGATGTTATTAATTTTTAATTAATATTTTTTGAAATAATTTGTTTTTAGTAAGTAGTGATACACTATTGTTTTCATCAGTTAGTGTTTTGAAATTACACTTCTAAATTCAATGTTCTCAAATGGTAGTATGAATTTTTATAAAGTAGTTCTCGTCATCGATTTATTTGTCTGTTTTTAAAATTGGTAGAAGAAGATTCTCTCCGAGTGAATTCACTGAAGTCTCAGTATGAGGCACAGATGGCCAAAGTTCAAAGAGAGCTGAAGGACTCGCAGGATAATATTACCAAACTTACTCTACAGATTGAGGAACTCACCCAAAAGGTAGTGTTATAATTAATGTGCTTTTTGTTAAGAGATTTTCTACTTACAAGTACTAATTCTGCTAGAGTCATGTTTATTATTATTATCACCTTTTTTATTTAAATGCTTATATCTCTCAATTACACGTTTATGGTGATGGTAGCTGACTAATGATAAAAAATACAAATATGTATGTATGAATAAAATTATGACAGTTGTGTAATGATTCTGATATATAATAATTATGTTTTGTTGTAAACACATTTGTTGAGAATTTAATGCTATTGATCATGAAGAAAGATGATGTGTGAAGATTTATCATTAAAATTAAACTTCTGAGATGTAATGCTTTTAATCATGAGATAAATGTAAGAAAAACTAGAACTCAGCTTCGGAACGTTAACACAACTTGATACTGTCAGTCTTCTTGACTTTCATATGAACTTTAACACAACTTGATACTGTCAGTCTTCTTGACTTTCATATGTACTTTAACACAACTTGATACTGTCAGTCTTCTTGACTTTCATATGAACTTTAACACAACTTGATACTGTCAGTCTTCTTGACTTTCATATTAACCTTAACACAACTTGATACTGTCAGTCTTCTTGACTTTCATATTAACCTTAACACAACTTGATACTGTCAATCTTCTTGACTTTCATATTAACCTTAACACAACTTGATACTGTCAGTCTTCTTGACTTTCATATGTACTTTAACACAACTTGATACTGTCAGTCTTCTTGACTTTCATATGTACTTTAACACAACTTGATACTGTCAGTCTTCTTGACTTTCATATGAACTTTAAAAGAAGACTGACAGTATCAAGTTGTGGACTTTCATATGAACTTTAACACAACTTGATACTGTCAGTCTTCTTGACTTTCATAATTTTTTCTCTTGTCATCAAAGTTTTGTCAACAAAGAAAAAATGATGTTGTTCTAAACAACTTTTCATTGATAACATAAATGTTACTTCTTCAGCTATTTGTCAAGAATAGAAAACAAATCAAATACCTTAACTTGCTGATAACATTAATGTTACTTCTTCAGCTATTTGTCAAGAATAGAAAACAAATCAAGTACCTTAACTTGCTGATAACATTAATGTTACTTCTTCAGCTGCTTGTCAAGAACAGAAAACAAATAATTAACCTGCTGATTTTGATTTAATGAATTTTTATGAATTGTTGGAGTTTTCATGAATTAAAATTGAAGGACGTTTGTTAATGAAATTAACAGTTCCTTAGTTTATTCAACTTGAGTAAGAATATTTTTTGATTCACTGCAAACATTTATGTGTTTAAAGAAATACACGAAATTAGTGTAAGAAAGATTATTGGAATATCTGTTTTATTGCTGTTAGACTGAAAAAACATCATTTAATAAATGTTTCAACAGCTAAAACAACAACAAAAACAAGCCACTAGACCCACCACTGTGGAGAGAGGAAGGTGAGTGCTTGGTTTCACTGCATTGTTTTAATATGGAATTGTGATATTGTAGCAGTTATAGTTTAATTGTATAAATATTTAGATGATTATTATAACAGTATTAACGCTTTCTCTGTGGCTGGTTACAAGTGTCATTTTCACGACCCTTTTACAGAATTACATTCAAACTTTTATTAACTTTATTATCAATGTTTATAAATCATATTTTTATAGTATCTTAAGTTTTAGTTTCTTAATTTCCAAAGGAAATATTTAACAAAATTCTCAATCTCTGTTACCATTTAGATCTTATATGGCTTTCAGTGTCCAGACAATTATAAACACAAACTATACACAAGTACAAGAAGTCACATAAAAGTTGAATCTCCTACCTTGATTTGCTGAGATATCAATAAATAAATTTGTCAAACTCACTAATGAAGTTCCCACTATCTTTCAAGACAGTTACATAATCACATGTTATTGGCTAATGAACATGTTTATGACCAATAGAAATGGTAGATTCTCCTCTGTGTTAAAGTTATTACAATTGTTTTATTTTAGCAGGAATATGCAGACAGTTGGCCTTTGATTCTTTGCCTGTGATCTTTGTTTTTACACTTTGAACAGCTAATAGAATTTTTCTAACTACTTGTAACTTAGTTAGCGATCCAGATAAAGGTTTAATGACTGGTTTGGTTTTTATGTACCAAAATGCATATTGGATAGCTAAATGAATTAATTTTGAGACAACCAACCAGTCTTGAATTAAGTGCTAAATTTCTTTTTTTTTATGTACATTTTTATTGATGGTTATATATTTTTTTACCAGCAGTAAATAAAATATAAAAATCATAAATTTGTCAGTGTATCTTAACAAAATTTGTTAAAATAAAATGTATAAAGTTACGATAGCACAATTATATAGTTTCTCACACATGTGACATTTGGCAGCAATACATAACTAACTCTCTGCCACAAACATGTAATAAGTTTCTGCTGTTATTTATTGCTTTTCACATGCATCAGTGCGGAAAGTTTGAAATAAAACTAAAATAAAACAATATAAAAAGTTTGATAATTGTAAATACAAGTAAATTAAGAATCTTGCAAAAATCATGCATTCAAAGAAGAAGAAGAAAAAGCTATTCTTATTTTTATTTGATATTTGTCTATTTTTAATATTACTGCACATTGATTATTTCACTACAGTTACTGTTGGATATCCATTTAGAAAGTTCTAGAGGTAATGTAAATGAAGAATGAACTGTCAGATAAAAATAAGTATAACAAGAAAATCATCTTTCACTCAGACTAGTTTGGAATTTACAGACAGATATTTAGAAGAAATACTTTATTAAGAATTCTAATTTTTGTATGCAACAGATTTATAATGTTTTCTAAATGTAAATTCAAAGGTATAGTATCTGTAGTTGCATGGAAAGATAGTTCCAAGGTCTGTTTTAATTTTAGAAATGTCATTTTGTGACATTTTTAATAAGATTATATTTTATAACTGAATAACTGCATTTATTGTAGAACTTGTTAGTCTCTAAATAATGACATGTATTATCATTAAATATTATCATAATCTATAATTGTGGCTGGTGTGCTGAACTGTAGAACTACGGGTTCATTGTTTGTGTCCCGTTACCTTATAAAAACCCAACAAACTGTTGAACATGGCTGGTGTGCTGAACTGTAGACATACGGGTTCGTTGTTTGTGTCCTGTTACCTTATAAAAACCAAAAAAAGTGCTGAACACTTTTGAACCACAACTACATAATTAGGTTAAAGAAGAAATCCGAATTACCAGCAAGATGAGTAGCCCAAGATTTGGATGTGGGTGTTGTAAACTAGCTGATTTTCTTCTAGTCTATCAGCTCAAAATTAGAGATAGCTAGTGCGTATAGCCCTTGAGTAGCTTTGTGCAAATATTGGAAAGCAAAAAAAAAAAAAATTAACAGTAAAGGTACTTTCGTAAAACAGTGTTTCCACTGGCTGTTGCCATTTATGCATCTTGCAGGAAAAAAAGGGAGGGGGGTACTTTTAGCTCAGATATTTTAAAGATATTCTTTACATTTTCTATTTTGCAAATTGCTAATTTTGAGACAACCGTTTATCTTATTTGAACCACATAAATTGGTAATCAAATAATGAAAACACTTTTTGCTATCACTGATAAGTGTAAGAAAAATTTTTATTGAAACTTATTATGACTGCAATTTACTAGCCAGTTTATTTATATGCATTGTTTGATGTGATAACATAAAAATAATATTCAATAAAAAAGGATTTAAGGCATCATAATATTTTGCCTACCATATTCACTAAGCCTAACTGAGCTTATGTTTTCTTATTGAGGAAAATATCTGTAGCTTTCAAATAGATATAATTTAATGTGCAAGCTCTTTCACGAACAAAAAGAACAGTTACAAATTCCCACCTCTGTGCTGTGTTATTAAGTCGTCAAAATTTCCCATGAAATGGCTGTGGTCAGTGCAACTAGAGCTCCGACTAGCCCTTTGAAACTATAAGCTAGTGCCAGACCACTTTATTTACTGTACTATGATGTGAAAAACCTAGTTCTTTCACTATTCAATCATATTTAATCTATTTTTGTAGCTGTTTCCAAAGTCGTGTTTTGTTAGAAAATGATCAAACCACTTGATAAAAAGGTAGCAATCAAGGCATATAGAAATACTGAGCAGAAAAAGACAAGTGAAATGGATAATGTGAAGGGGTGGTCGTTTTCTATCAAGTTTAAAACTATTGTTTCAAATGGGCAGAAAAATTGTAAAGACATCAACAAGTGCCTTGTTTATGGGTTAGACCTCTCAGAAATGCACAGAAATGAAAATTTGAACATTCCTTAAATTTTCCTTCTTGAGTTATATTAAATAAATGAAACAAAATGACAGAATGTTGATTTTAACATTTCAGATTTACAAATTTTTATATTGGGTTAAAATTATTTTCCCTTGAGTTCTGAAATTAGATATGCAGGTGATCTCTCAACACCTAAGTGGTACTCACCGTTCCAGATAAGACTCATACTGTAAAGTTTGAGTTAATGCAAATATATATCAATTAGATGGAAACTTGTTGAGTTTTTTAATTAATGATGCCCGTTTTTATGTCGACATATAAAACAGAGTTAAAAAATTGAAAATGTTGGGAAAAAAGTTATTTGAAGAAAGTTAAGGGTTAAAAAAACATGGAAAGCCAGAGAATACCCTGATACACAGATTTATAGACTTGAGAAAGATTATTTCTCATTTTCAAGAATTATCATCCATATTTGAGATACAGAAACATGGAAAGCTAAAATGTTTTGTTGCAAGTGACATTTAATCAGATTTTTTATGTAGCAGTAATATGGTATCGTAGTGTTTGAAACATTATATATTCGATTTGTAGCACCATGTCTTCTGAGCCTCTCACTGCCAACATCAAGCCACTTTCACAGCCTGTACAAACAGCAATTCGTCACCACACCACCCTGGCTCACACTGCTTTGCCACCTACTCGCACCACCCCAACAGCAAGCATTCGACCCATGGGTATCAGTGCTAGTGTGTCTGCCACTGTGCAGCATAACACTACACGTATGGCAGCAGTGCTGCCAACATCGGTGACAGTTGGAGCTGGCCCTTCTATGGAAGGTATGTTTTTAAAAGTTTGTTGTACACTTGAGAGCCTTTAATAGATGTTCTTTTACAAGGTCTGTGTGTCATGTTTACTATTAGTTATTTTTTCTTAAATCTGATATATTTATTTATGTATAAGAATTTAGATATCAAGTGATGATTCTCTTTTATGATGAAAATTAGCTTAAAAATAGATGCAAACATGTTAAAAGTTAATTTTTATATAAGTACTGAATGTATCTGTTTTATCTGAAAGGAATAGTATTACATTTGATTTGTAAATAATTACTTCTTATAGCCTTTTCTGGCATCTTTCATATCATCTGTGTGTTCACAGCAACTAACGACCATTGATAGTGATACTGTATTGTGGCTTGTATAGCTTCTGGTCATAGTTCACACCTGGTTAGGTAAGCAAAGACCAGTGGTCAAGACATTTGTATTGTGACTTGTATGGCTTCTGGTCATAGTTCACACCTGGTTAGGTAAGCAAAGACCAGTGGTCAAGACATTTGTATTGTGACTTGTATGGCTTCTGGTCATAGTTCACACCTGGTTAGGTAAGCAAAGACCAGTGGTCAAGACACTTGTATTGTGACTTGTATGGCTTCTGGTCACAGTTCACACCTGGTTTGGTAAGTAAGAGACTAAATTAAGAAAACAACAAATATTTTTCAAGTTTTGTTGTCTGTACATTTCATTTTATACTTTACTTTTTATACTTTTGTTGTTAAGCAACATGATATAAAAGCCATTGTTGGTATGTAGTGTTACCAGAACATACTGACTTTTCTATATATTAGAAGTTGTTATCTAACTGATTTTTACCAATAACCATTCTATGAATATGCCATGAATTCATTTCATGGTTGATCTTAATTTTGATTGGCTTGCAAAGGAACTTATAAATGCTTAACTGCTTCAACTGCACTTTTCTGCTTGTTTGTTGGTTAAGCTTGATTTCATAAAATTTATTTTTTCTGTTAGCTATGAAATGTGAGGTTAAGGGTATACTATGGGTTGGGAGTGGTAGTACTTGCCCCATCATTTTTGATGGGATATACGCTAGTAAATTATAAAATTAGACCCACCTGTCACAAATTGTCAGTAATTCTCTCTGTTTTTTACTATATCATTTATAACCAATAGAAAGGCAAAGTTTTGATCATTTGATTGACATATAATAAGTTGTTTTCAGTACAGATTATTGTCAATATCATCTTTGATTGACATATAATATGTTGTTTTCAGTACAGATTATTGTCAATATTATCTTTGATTGACATATAATATGTTGTTTTCAGTACAGTTTATTGTCAATATCATCTTTGATTGACATATAATATGTTGTTTTCAGTACAGATTATTGTCAATATAATCTTTGATTGACATATAAAATGTTGTTTTCAGTACAAATTATTGTCAATATCGTCTTTGATTGACATATAATATGTTGTTTTCAGTACAGATTATTGTCAATATCATCTTTGATTGACATATAATATGTTGTTTTCAGTACAGATTATTGTCAATATCATCTTTGATTGACATATAATATGTTGTTTTCAGTACAGTTTATTGTCAATATCATCTTCAGTTTGAAAGTTTATCTTCTGGTGTTCAGATTGAACAACTATGGGAATTATTTTAAGCTCCTCTTTTCTAAGTTATAGAAAGAGTTAAATTATAATAGTTATAGGACATTGTTTGATTTGTACATATTATTAATCTGTGTTCTTAGGTGCATTATTGAAGTAATTAAAAATTATTCAGTGTTCTAGTACTGTCAGGATATAAAAGACTTTAGGTTAGATGTTATTAATTGATTTGTTTTAGTGAGTGAATGTTTTATTATTGTTTAGCTTTGTTATAATAAGAGTTAAAAGCAGACGATTGTAGGAAGTTTTGTTAATAATTCATTGCTGTTGAGAATATCGAAGGAAGACAGACAATTAGGTAATAAAGATATAAATAGCATGATATAATAAAAGTAATTTATTCTGTCAAAGCCTGATTCTAAAGTAATTGAATCAGCCTGAGTGCACTTTGACAAAAGGAATGGAGAATCTTCAAAAGAAAGAAGACCAAATGATTACGGTAATTCACGCCACAACTGTAAGTGAATCACACATAGAATACTAGTGGGATAGAAATAGAGAAGATAGTTAGGCTTGTCAACTGAAATTATAAAGTAATATAATAGGCCTAAGTGGATATTTGACAAGAACGAGAAAACTACATATATGGTGTTTATGATATGACTATAATATCTACAGTGTTGAAGAATTTATTGTACATACATTAACTCGTTCTGAACATATATATTATTTTGAAAACAAGTGAAGTTCATCGTAAACAAGTCACAGACACCTACTGTAGAAGAATCCTAAGCCCAACAACAACATAGTATATATTTATATCGTTAGGAAATATTTTTATTTTGACAATTCACGAAGAACAGGTTTTTAAATTTTGACACAGTACCATCATAAAAAAAAAAACCAGGCTTAAATTTCATTGGCATCTGACAGCAAAAAAACATAAGTACTGTATTTGTAACTTAAATGTAAAAATTAGAAATTTTTTAGGTTAGGTAATGTTAATAAATTTATAATAGTAATAAACATTCTTCACTAGTTATGCTTGTGAGCAGCTTTTGCTTTACATCATTCGCTTGTGTGGAGGGATTATTAGTTATACATAGTTCAAAGGGCAATAGAATTAAGTATAAACAGATGTAGACTGTTACAAGCTTTAAGTTATTTAGGATAAGCAATTGTAGTTTTCTGTTAGAATCTGAAGTCATTATAGAAAGAAGAAAAGGGAAATTTTAATTTATTTCATATTTTTTATGTTGGTTACAAGGTTATTCAAATTGACCGAGTCCGTAAAGAGTTAGGGTAGAGAAAATAACATAAAAATATAAAAATTTCTGAAAAACGTTTGATATTTGTTTAGGAGGTTTTAGAGGTAATGCAAATAAAATTTTAAAACTTTCAGATAAAGAAAAGTATTTTTAATCTTAACAAGAAAATCCCTTCATGTTCATATCAGTCAATGCCCTGTTACCTCGTATTCATTGACAAATCTGTATTAAGAATACTTAATTAATAGATCTGATTTTTTAAGTACAAAAGAATTGTAATGTTTACTGAAAGCTTGCCAAATTTCATGGAGATATACAAAACATACTAAAAGAGTATGGAAACTGGAAGCTACTTTGTAGCTACGAGGTCGGTCACATTGACCAATCCTGTATGGAAAGAGTTAACACCTGGTTAGAGGAGTAACGACCAATGATTACAACACTGTGTTGACATTTTTTGGCCAGAGATGTCTAACATTTTCTGAATTTGTATCTTCCAAGAAACGACTACATCTGTGTCTGGGATTACATCACAGCATGCTCCTCCATCTGTTCCATATGCTACGGTGTCACCAACTTACGCAGCCCCTCAAGTCACAGCTACAGCGACTGTTGCTCCAACATCATCAGCGTTCTCTACAGAAACTGCTGTTTCTTCAACAGTAAGTGGAACCACCCAGCCCGTAGGTGAGTAGTTGTATTTGTTGCATTTATAATTGTAATAAATACAGTGTTGTTGTAGATTGTGGCTTAACATCCTGGTACCTAAACATAGATAATAGGTTTCGCTCTTACTCGTTTGTATTAAATAAATCAGGAAGACTGGTTTGCTGGTTTTCCAGTCCTTCTGAATGTTAGTAAAAGTTAATAATAATAAATAAGTGGTGTTCAAAATAAATATCTAACAAGATGTTTTTAATCCTTACCCTAATTCTGATTTATAAATGACGTAGAATAAAAATTTATAATAATTACATTTATCTTTTTTTAATCTGATTTACAACATAATGGTTGTTCACACAGTTGGTGATATAAATGTTGCCTAGGCCACTGCTATGCCTACCATATCCTAGTCAGCCTGATGAGTCCTGGTGTGAGTAAAAGGCCTCATTGGCACTGGATATGGCAGATATAACATGGTTGAGTTATTTCATATTTTTCTTTGTTTCACTCTTAAGTTCTTAGAAATGGTATTACTGAAAATTCTTTCAAACTATATTCAATAACATGGTGTCATGGTAGAGTAAAAACAGCATTTTGAAGTATAGGTTAACAGAGCATTAAATAAGTGTGTTTAATAGTTTACTCATACAACATTACAAATTATCATTAAGTATATGATGTCACAATGCATTCTTCTAAATATTTTGGATTTGATATTTAATGTTATGTTCCTTTATGATAACATCTCTAAATGTCTGTTCTCACAATAACACATAATCTGTTGCTAATTGCTAGAATATTATGAAACTTTGTTATTATAAATATATTTCCATATGCATAAGGTTTTAATGTACAGAAATGGGTAATGTGTAAAATGTTTGTTTTTATCCTCTAGCTCTAGCTGTGAGCATTCCAGAGGAACAGCAGAGTTCAACAACAGAAACTACCACCTCAGTCTTGACCCCTATGATGGCTTTAGTAAGCCCAAGGTTAGAAGGTCCAGGTGAGTTGTAATATTTAATACACAAATAACAAGCCTTATTTTAACCCTGCAATCATATTTACTTCAATTTTGAATGAAACTTATTTATCTCTTTATATTAAAGTAATATAAAATTTAGATATAACAGTATAAAAGCATTTTTGTGAAAATAGGATAGTGCTTTTAGTGTTAGCACTACTATTTTCTACAATTGGGCATAACATATTTTTCAAGTAACTTGTTACCATAATAATATTATTTTTGTCAATAGTAAGGAATTATAACACATTAGATTTTAACAGGAAGGATAGTTTAGTGATTTTCTACCTTCTGTAGCTCAGACTGTGGTAATCCAAACTATCAAATATTTTCAGTGGATGTGCTCTACATTACAAAATACTTAAAATATAAAGTCTCCAATTTTGATTAAAATTTTTCGTTTCTTTTTCTCCGCCCCAAAAGTACGGAAGCTTAATTTGATAGAAGAAGGTTAGAGGCTAAACTTAGACATGAGTTTCAAGGTTTGTTTTTAGGAGGAAATGCTTACACAGGGGTTTGTAGCCAGTGTCTAACTTTAGCCTCTAACCATAAACCTAAAAACAAACCTTGAAACTCGAGGAAATGCTTACATAGGAGTTTGTAGCCAGTTTAAG